AAAAAGGCTATGAGTGAAGCACCAGTGTTGGCTCTACCTGACTTCCAACATCCTTTTGTGATAGAAACCGATGCTTCAGATAAGGGAATTGGAGTTGTCCTTTCTCAAAAGCAGCACCCCATAGCATACTTGAGCAAGGCTTTATCTGAAAAGAATAAAACACTCTCCACCTATGAAAAGGAATTGCTGGCAGTTATCTTGGCTGTAGAAAAATGGAGAGCATACTTGGTGGGGCATCATTTCATTATTATAACAGACCATTTCAGTCTGAAATACCTGTTGGAACAGAAAATCACCACACCATTCCAAAGTAAATGCCTACCTAAACTCATGGGACTAGATTATGAAATTGAGTACAGAAAAGGCAAGGAGAATGTGGCAGCAGATGCTCTTTCAAGAGTAGATAATGGAGAATTGATCAGTATGATATTGACTGAAGTGCAATCTGATCTCTTGAGTAAAATACAAAAAAGTTGGGAAAGTGGATGGGCTGCAGAATTGATCATGAGATTGAAAGAAGAACCCAATTCAGAAAAGAAGTATTCTTTTTTACAGAATAAGTTGTTGAGAAAGGGAAAACTGGTTGTAGGAGAAGATGAGAACTTAAGGAAGGATATCATCCAGCTCTTACATAGTTCTTCCTTGGGGGGACACTCTGGAACTCAAGCAACAAATAAAAGGATCCAAGCTTTGTTCTATTGGAAGGGCATGAAGAAGGATATAAGGAACTTTATAAGAGGTTGCATCATTTGTCAGAAGAATAAACCTCTTTTAGAAGCACCTGCTGGTCTTTTACAACCCTTGCCAATTCCCGAAGCTATTTGGATGAATGTTTCTATGGATTTCATAGAAGGCTTACCAAAATCAATGGGCAAAGACACAATACTTGTGGTGGTGGATCGCCTTAGTAAATATGCCCATTTCATTTTGTTAGCTCATCCATATCAAGCTAGCACAGTGGCAAAGGAGTACTTTGAACAGGTTTTAAAGTTGCATGGACTGCCTAAAACAATTATAAGTGATAGAGATAAAATCTTCCTCAGCAAATTCCGGCAAGAAACTTTCAAACTGCAGCAAGTAGACCTGAGATTATCTACTGCATACCATCCACAAACAGATGGTCAAACGGAAGTTGTCAATAAATGCTTGGAGACTTACCTTCGTTGCATGACTGGAGAACATCCCAAAGAATGGGCGCGATGGATTCCTTTAGCTGAGTGGTGGTACAATACCAACTATCACTCAGCTATAGGCAGAACCCCTTATGAAGTAGTATATGGTCAGTCACCCGCCATACATCTTCCTTACATCAAAGGGGACAGTCTAGTGGAGGCTGTGGATCGTAGCTTAAATGCTAGAGAAGAATGTATTCAGATCCTGAAGTTTCATTTAAAACGGGCTCAAGACCGAATGAAAACTCAAGCCGACAAAAGAAGAACTGACAAGGAATTCTCAGAAGGGGATTGGGTGTATATTAAACTGCAGCCCTATAGGCAACAGTCTGTGGCTTATAGGAGCAATCAGAAACTATCTCCTAAGTTCTTTGGACCATTTGAAGTTATAAGAAAGATTGGGCAGGTAGCATACAAGGTGAAATTACCTGATCATGCAAAAATACATCCTGTCTTTCACATCTCCCAACTCAAGAAGCATTTTGGTGATCTGCCTACAAGTTATACTCTACCTAATATGGATGACAGTGGATTGTTGAGTGTGGAACCATTGTCTGTATTAGAGAGAAAATTAGCTAAGGTGGGAAATGTAGCAGCAGTGTACTGGCTAGTCCAATGGGCGAATGGGAACAAGGATGATGCTACATGGGAGAAATATGAAGATTTAGCTAAAAGGTTCCCAGATTTTGTGAACCGCTCCCTTGCAGCTTGAGGACAAGCTTGTTTTAAGGGGAGTGGATTGTTATGAGTTGTATATAGCTATCCACGTGGCAGGCCATGGGTAGATTGTAGCTACATGGCAGATGTATAACCCTTAACGGGTATTGGGGCTGTTAGTTAATTGTAGTTGACCGATTAGTTGAACCGTTAGAAGGGGGCGGTTAAACAGTGTGTATAAATAAGCCCAGAATGTACGTTTTGGATAGCTGGAATAATACGATATCTTCTTTCCTATGCTCTGCAATCTGTTTACTCTTTGTTCGAATTCTATTTCTTTCTTTAGAATTCCTACAACTTTAGCTAATTCATCGAATCAATTCCTTGAATATAGCACACACACAAATGCAGAAAAACAGAGATATGGATAGAAAATGAAATACATGATGATCTGTTTGAGGGCGATGCAGAATGCTGCGTGAAGGAGAAGGTTGAAGTGTGGAAAGCTCGATGACTATGAAAGAAGTAAGACTAGGCGGGACCGCGGGAGGTATTTGGGGTTAACGAATCAAATACTTGAGTTTTATTAGACCTGGTTGGGTAAGATTTTAAATGACTAATAAATCTGTATTATTAAAAAAATTATATAAAGTGTTTGTTTTTCGGAAAATAAAAAGTTACGGAGGTCTTAGGCAAAACTTGCTTTTGGGTTTAATAGGTAACAGGTGTGTTGTTTTGTTCTATTATAAACATAGAATATTATAATGCTCCGTATTATAAATTATAAATAATACCCATTCTGTTATCCTCAACTAAATACGGAGTATGCGTGAAAACAAATTAACGTAGAACAATTTTCTCTAATTAAATGGGTAGATTTTGTTTCACACGAATTTAGTTACGCACACTAACAAGGACTTTAAGCACAATAACTTTTTGAAGTTGACTGCGTCAAAATATACATATAAAACTGCAGTTAACTTCAAAAAATGATTTGAATGTCTTCCCGATAGAATTTTGAGCTGACATTTGGTATGGACAAACTAGACTTCATGAGAAACATGCTCAAAAAAATTCATCAAAAAATTCCACCGGTAAGGTGCCCAAACGGGCTCGGCCGGACGGAGCATCCCGTCAGGCCGGCCTGACATGAAGATTTGTCTTGAAGTTTCATCTGAAGTTTTATAAATCCCCGTGTTAATTGAATATGACATTATTTTATACGTTAAAGATCAGATGACAAGTCATCTAGACTATGATTATATAATACTCCGTATCAATATTTATAGATTCTAATATAAATTGACTGAACTTAATAAATTCTAGCTCTTTTTTAGCTGAAGTGGCGTGCCGAACACAGCCGTTATATCCTAAAATTAAAAGGTTTAGTAATTTGATAGAAGGTATATTACATAATCTTATACTACGTACTCCTCCCGTCCCCCAATTAAGTTCCCTCTTTCTTTTTTGGATAGTCCCTGAATTAAGTTCTCATTTCTTTATTTGGCAAATCAACTACATCAAAACAGTACAAAACAGTGTCAAACAATGCTTAAAACTATAAAGTTTACCCCCAGTAAATTTTTTCCTTAATAAGTGTGAAAAACAATGAGAAACTTAATTGGGGGACAGAGGGAGTATAATACTATTCCTTCTCACAATTAAAGTCCCACTTTGATTTTATGGTCTCAAAGGCGAATGTTTGAGCGTAATCATATATAAATATATACTTATATAATCTATAATAAATAACCAAGCATTTCAACCCAGTTGGTTGTGAGGTTACCGTGCCTAGTAGGAGGTCTCGAGTTCGAAACTCGTTAGGCACATAAGGGTTTGAAACTCAATGGGTTGAGTTTCAGCCCTGATTACTCCAGGCTCCCCCAGCCCCAGACCCCCTGGAGTAAAAAATAAAATCTATAATAAATTGACATTTGAATAATACACATTACAATGAAGCACATAAAATTAATTTTGTGTGATAAAATATTGTTAATCTAGAATAAATAACTGTCAAAGTTCAACAAGTTTGATTCAAAAGTCAAAGTGGGATTTTAATTGAGTAAATGATCAGTTTGGTCCTCGAATTTGCATAAAAGGGATCAAAAAAGACCTTATATAGAAGATTCTGTCTGAACGTTACATAATTGCGCTTTTAACTGCACAGTTAGCTTCAAGAATTCATTTGAATGTCTTCCCGTTTGAATTTTTATCTGAAATTTGGTATGAGTGAACTAGACTTAATGAATAAGATGCTCAAAAAATTTCATCAAAAAATTCCATCGAGAACCGCCCCAAATGGCGACGACTGGATAGAACCTTCTATATAATTAAGGACTTATTTGAGTATTTGACCCCTTTTATGCAACTTCGAGAACCAAACTGACCCTTTACTCGATTTTAATTGAGGGACGGAGGTAGCACTACGTATCAGTTAACTTTTTTTAATATAATCACAAATAAGTGATTTAGCTAGTGTTCGTTCTTCGGATTATTCCCTCTACAAGAACCAGATTGTCATCAAAGTAAAACTCATTTACTCCTTTAGCTAAACACTTACATGAGTCCTAAAGACCACTTTTTCTTTTTTGAAAATTTAAAAAGTTGCTTTTGTTTGTCTTTGACAAATGGTAAAAAGAATGCATAATTAGGCCATCTTAGTCAAAAGATTAGAGCGCGTTATTATTATTATTATTATATTAATGATCATAAGGCAAGCGCTCACACAAATTAAAATTACAGAGGGAGCTATAGAATATATATCCAAAACATCATATATAGGCAGAAAAATACATCTCCTCTGTCATTTTCTTCTTCTTCTTCGTCTTCCTCTTCGATCTTCCGGTGATTTACAAATAAATAACTTTGAATGTGCACGAAACGGTGTCGTTAAAGCGTTCGGGATGGCGACATTGGCGGATATCGGGGTATCAGCATTGGTAAACTTAGGGGGCGCCATTGCCTTCTTGCTGGCCTTCGCTTTCCTCCGGATTCAGCCCATGAATAAGAGAGTTTACGTACCCAAATGGTACATTATAGGGGAAAGAAAGCCTAAAAATGCCAATGAAAAAGCATACTCTGTTGGCAAATTCGTAAGCTTTAACCCCATGACTTACCTGACTTTCCTCAACTGGATGCCTCAGGCTCTTAAGATGAAAGAGTCTAAACTTATCAAGCATGCAGGCCTTGACTCTACAGTCTTCTTGAGGATTTATATCCTTGGGTATGTATCTACTATCTACCGGCCTCATTTGATCTTGTGTGGTCTATTCACTTGTTCTAAAAATCGCTCTAGGCGCCCGACTAGTCCCCGCCTAGGCGCTAGGCGGTGGTCGGGCGCCCCGATTTTGGTCTAGGCGCTCCGACTAATTGAATCGGTGCCTAAGTGAATTCGTCGGCCGTTTAGGGCACCTAGTTGCCCGCACAGAGCGCCTAATGGGCCGCCTAGGCGTCTAGATTCATCGAACACTTTGTTTTTTTGCCTTTTTATTTTAGTATCCTAAGAAATATGTACCTTTAACTTTGACAATGCATGTCAAGAAAGCTACTAGTGAGTAAGTGAGTAGATATAATATACTCCGTATTATTAAATGTGATAACTCTATCATTGATGTTAATGTGTATGTGTGTATATATATATATATTTATTATACACACACAAATAAAACATTACTAATCATATTTATGCAAAAATATTGATAAAACTACAATTTCGATGTCTCCGATTAGTCCCCGCCTAGGCGCCCGCCTAGCCGACTAGGCGCTGGGCTGGCGCCCGACTAACGCCTAACGCCTTTTAGAATATTGGGTCTATTTAATTCTAATTTGACATGTTTATTTAAATCTAATATTGACTATATCAGTAAAGCGAAAGTTACTACCTCCGTCCAATTTGATGGTCCTAGTTCATATTCACTTGATCAACATAAATCATTCTTAATTAATCACTTACTTTTTATATCATTTTTATCAAATTTGATTCAGGTGTTTCCGACTTTATAAAACTTTTAATGTAGTTTCTGAATATGTAAATTTTATTTGCTACAAATAAATGAATAATTGGAGTGCAGACATGGATTCGTTTACTTTATCGTCGGTCAAGCCTTGTAAACCCCAATAGGACCATTAAATTGACTTTCTTAAGTTTGATGTGATTTATTTAGGTCTAGTTTAGTCTTATTTGATCTCATCTGATCTAATTGACAACACTTTTAATTAATTCGGTAATACTACAAAACATGGGTGCTTCAATTGAATAAAATTTCAACGATAAAAAAAATTGAATAAAATTTCGTTTTTTTTTAATAAAAAGGATCGGCTTTTATATGAAAATCGAGAAAGATACAAGATAACATCCAGACAGTTATGATAGATCCGATTGTGAGCCCTGGGAATAGACTTAGAATAGACAAAGCAACTTGATTCGCTAAACACGAAACGGGCAATTTAAAGCCTAAAACAACCGGGACTGAAATACTATCTATCAAACGTACACTAGAAGTCCAAATTTCCGAATCAAAACCAACTAAAAGTAAAATAAAACAAGTACTACGAATGGAAAAATAAAATTGAAATAAGGCCTTTCTACAAAACTCTTCATGACATGGTGGTGGTTCTAGAGGAGGACGAACTCTATCAATGTCAACACACTCTAAAAGAAAGCAGACAGAAGCCCCTGACCAGGCGAAGCTAGCCGAGACACCAACAAAACTCCCCACATTGAGAGAGACAAACCACCCCGGAGCACCATTGCCCGGAAAAAAACCGCCATATAACAAAATCAACACAACCAGAGAGAAGAATAATCCAATTGGATCATACCTCTACCAAGAATCTATAAGCCGGAATCCTACGTACATAACCCAGAACATGTCCTCTTCGTCCTTCGTCGTTGATAATTAATTCGGAAGGAAGATCGCCACACACCTCTATCTAGGGCTCTGGATCCGGAGCATCTACCTTACTTTAGAGTAAGGTAGAGTGTCTTGCTTCCTCCCGTTCGTCCGATCCACAATTCAACAGTTGGAGATCTTGGGCTCTACTTTTTCGCCGATCTTGAGGCCGTGTTGGCCGCTCCCCTCCCATCTGATGTGCAAGGCACCCTCCTAGTCGGGTAGAGGATCCCAATCCCTAGGGCTCTAGGGTTGAAGCTAAAATTCCGAATAAAATTTCGTTAAAATGAACCTTATTAATCAATATAATAAAATTTCTATTATGCTGTTTTCTTATTATAAAAACTTATCGGTGTTAGCTAGCAAGTAGGTATTATGTTTTACATTATTCCCCAAATTTGGAGTCATCATATATAAATCGGTGTGAAGTCCTCATAGAATGTTTTTAACGCGGAAAATGTCTAGAACAGATAAACTTAAGTCATTATATAATGATTTTAACCAGGAAAATGCCATTAGATGAAAGGAATTTACAAATAAATATTGTGACTCATACGCTGATAATTAAATTACCATTGATGTTGCATGTTGCACAACAAATTAATTTTGATATACTTACATATGAAGAAGAATCTATATATTACTGCATAACCAATTGAAAACTATTTAAAATGTGACTTCTTAAGTGTAGTTATCATAGTAGTAATTTTAGTCATAATTACTTATGTTCAACTTTTATACCTAAGTGACTATTACGTTATTCTCATACTCCCTCCGTCCCGAAAACAACTTCCCGGTTGGACTTTCACACACTTTTAGGAAATAAATTTGACTTTACTGTAGAATGCACTATTTTGCACTGTTTAAACACTGTTTGGCACTGTTTAAACACTGTTTGGCATTGTTTATCACTTTTTTGATGTAGATAATTTGACAAATAAGGAAAGTATTGAAGTGTGAAGTTAATTTTGGGACATCCATTTAAGGAAAGTGGGAAGTTGTTTTCGGGACGGAGGGAGTAATAACTTTAGACATAATTTAGTAAATAATTTTTATTTTAATATTTTTGAAAAATCCAATTATATATATATATTCCCAGTTTAAAAAGTAAATATAATATGATATGATAGATCTTTCTTGTGCCTTTGACAGTTTAAAGATATTCGGGCCGACTACTATTGTAGTTATATTGTTTCTTGTTCCAGTCAATGCATCAGATGTAACATTATCTTTCCTCAGCAAGGATCTGGTGGTTAGTGAGATTGACAATTTCTCCATATCCAATGTCAGCCCCAGGTCTACAAAGTAAGTCTTTTTTACAGTTTGACTTTTTTATTTTTTCAATTTGATTTATTAGCTAGGTTCTTGCTTTTTGCTCCCATTGAATCTGCATTTTTCCGCTCAGATTTTTGTATTGGATGAATTGCATTTTGTCATTAGTATTCCAATATGTCCATTTATGTAAATAGTCAGATCCAAATGTTGAAGTAGGCAGGAGAGAATTTAAAATTCATACGTTGTATACTTGTATTATAAGTTTTATTTGGTTATAATATTGGAAAAAACAAAAAAAATATCAATACTTTTAAATTAAAAAATAAGATTTATTTAACTATATATTACTTGATTATTATTTATCACATTTTGTTAACTATATTAAATCTTTGTTTCTTAATTGATTCAAAATTCATTGTTTTCATCTTTTCAAAATTAATACTTTTAATTTGTTTTCATCTTTGACATATTTCTACCTTCTTTTTGCAGTAGGTAATTCTCATAATTAGATTTGTATGCATATAATTAAGCCAAACACTAAAAGAGGCTGTTTTGGATGGCTCAGGTTTTTTGTGCACATAGGAATGGAATATTTGTTCACATTTTGGACCTGTCTTTTGCTATACAAAGAATATGAAACAGTGACATCAATGAGATCAAAATTTTTGGCTTCACGAGACGGGGATATTGAAGAAGCTAATGGCCGCCTCACTAATCACCCTGAACAGTTCACTGTAAGTTAAAAATAAGGGAAATTCTTTTGTACACGCCAAATTTTACACGCCGGTCAAATTATCTGTGTACAGACAATTTGACCGGCTACACAAACAATTTGTTCGGCGATTTATGAAGAAAACATATTTTCACACAGACAAGAATAAAAAAATTGTCTGTATTACAGACACTTTATGAAAAATTCGGTCTAAAATGTCTGTGATACAGACAATTCTTTATATATTGTCTGTGTGAAAATCGATTTTCTTCATAAAATGTCCGTCAAATTGTCTGTGTAGCCGATCAAATTGTCAGTGCACGGACAATTTAACCGGCGTGTAACTCAGCGTGTACCCGAAGCGGGACTCTAAAAATAAATGGAAGATTTACTAAAAATAGGATCCGTCAAAGCTGTCACTTTAAAATGTCACACATATAAAATTTTAATTTTGATTGGACCAAACGAGCCTCATAGGGCTGGAACACTACTGCCCTAGGTTGCTTGATCGCCGCCTGACCGCCGCCACCTGAATTTTCTCCTAGATTTCCTCCACCAAACTGCCAGATTTCCGCCGCCATCCTCGGAATTTGCAACTGTCGAGTTGCTGTCTTCAACTGACTGCCTTTGACTATGTCAGAGAATTAGAAGACAATTAATTAAGTTAATTAATTAATTAGAGGTAGAAAGGAAATGATTAATCAAAGATCAAACATATGATTTTATTTTTTTGAAAAAGACTATGTTTTAGTCTTACGGCGTATTTGACATTTAGCGGTTAGCGGATAGCGGTTTATCTTAACGGGTTGTCAATAGCTAGCGGATTTAGTCAGTGAAGTTGACGAGTTGTCAAAAGATGTTGGGTAGTTTAGCTGTTTGGCCATAACAAATAGTACAAAACGTCATACTTCAAAACGTTGACCCAAAACGGCGTTTCATCAAAAACGCTTGGGGCCGAACAACTATTCACCAACTAACGTTTTCATTTACTGAAAACGCTAAAAAGAGTCACACCGCCATTTTTGATGAAACGCCGTTTTCCAAATACCCTCTTAGTTTAAACAATTTTCTCAAACGTTTGCACGATGCCATCTTTACGTTATTTGTATTGCATATTCAAGTTCAAAGTGTTGCATATTGTTCAGCCATAAAATAGTCGTTGCATATTAACGTTCAAAGAGTTGCAGCCTAAAAATGTTGGCTTTTATTACAAAAAACCCATCATGTCTTAATACCCTTTAGATCAACTCGTCGGATGACCAATGTCAATTTGTAGTTTATCAATTAAGGAAGGTATGTGTTTGATCTCTATTTTATACACACATAGTTTGGTTCAAATAAAACGTGCTTCCTAGGTGAAGAATAAGAACAAATTTGGGCCATTGATATGAAAAAATGGATGGAAGAGATCAAACTTTAAGTGAAAAATGTGGTGGCATTTTGGTAATTATGAAGAACTTTCAATAAAAATATTACTCCGTATTTGAAAAGTGTATCAGAATATTCAAAAAGTGTACATGTAAAGCAAAAAAGTACATAACAATACATCATAAAATGTGCACAAGTTAAAAAAATTGGCAATCTTTTTTAACACTCAGCACTTTTATTTATGTAATACTACCTCCGTCCCTCTAAGTTTGGGACAAGAGAAGGTGACACGATTATTAATAAAAGTGTGTTTATGTGGTTGATATTAAATTGATAAAGTAAGAATAAAGTAGGAATGATTTAGAATCACACAAACTTTACCAAATAAGGTATGAGACAATCTTAGTGGGACGGACCGAAATGGTAAAATGGGACAATCATAGCGAGACGGAGGGAGTATCAACTTTGTACATTAAACATTTGCACATTATCTGACTCAATGCCTTGTGATTAAAATTTATCTCATTCATCTATTTACAAGTGATTAAAGGTTATAATTTGTTTTCACTTTTCATGGAAAAACTAATTTTTACTTGAACTCACCCATATATATTACGGAGTAATAATTTTGCAAATCCGAATCACTAGTAATTTTTTTTTAAGAAAGTACTGTGTAAACGAACTTAGCTTTCAAGAATAGGACCGCGTTTTTTTAATCAGGACCATTAGTTATTTTAATGATCATTTTAAATTTCTCAAAAGACTACAATAATCTAATTAGGAAAAACTTCGAAGCGGAAGTAAAAAAGTTTGAAAATTTCAAAATAGGATTGTTATGTTTAATTTTTATTCTCAAATCAAGAGTAATTTACTGTCAAGTTTGAAAAATACTCACATGTTTAAAGTCTAGTAATGTCAAAACATGACAATAATTAAGTAGATGACATAAGTAGATACGTTAAAATGAGATTAATTAACCCCATTAGGCAAATATATATATGTGTGTGTGTGTGTAAAAGAAGTAACTCTTATTGATAAGGGCTATATTCCTTGTTTTCCGAACGATCGGAAATACTTTTTAAGTATAGATAAATCTTTTAAATATGACTAAAATAATTATACAATTCACAAATATGACTATAATAATTGCTCTAAATAGGACTAAAAGTGAATCGAAGTGCACTAATAGGACTATAAGTTTATAATTCCTTAAATAAGACTTATTGGATCTATTAAAAGTATAAAACCTTTTCACTTTAGGAGTGAATGAGTCCTATTTTAGGAAGAAAACAAATGATCCTGTTATGCACTTTGTCTATGTTTTAGTTTTATTTAAGAAATTTTCTCAGACTACCAATTTTTTATTTATAAAATATGACTCATTCACTCCTATTTTGGGAAGTTTTATACAACTTATTTTTCTAATAGGACTAAATAAATCATAATTGCGGAATAAAACTTACATAGTCTTGATTTTAAAACTTTTTGTATGTTTTAAGTTAATTTCTATTTTAAGTACAAAGTATAAACTAAAGAGTAAAGAGTCCCTCCTTAAAAAAACTAGCAATCAAATTTCAAAATGATACTCCTACAGTCCTACAACGTAGTAATGTACTATATATTTAAAGAAAAAATAAATGATCTTGTTTTGAAATTCTCAAACATTTTTACTCATTTATTAGAAATTATCTGTTTTAGTTAAGTGTTTTTTTTAAGAAAGTGAACTTTAAACAAGTTGTAATTGTAAATTTGTAATTAATGGACAATAGTCTTTCTTTTTCATGACGTCAGGTTGTGTAATTGTTTCTTCAGGTGCTTGTACGAAATATACCACGCGATAGCTCTGATAAGTCGGTATCTAAAACAGTGGGAAACTATTTTAAGGAGAATTACCCGCACGAATATCTTTGCCACCACGTAAGTATCAAACAGAGGAAGGACACTACCCCTTTCTTCTAAAGAATTTATTTTGACACTATCCATCCCTATCATTTAAGCCTTGACACATTATTTAAAGAAAAATAATAAGGCAAATGGATAATGATTATTGTAGAAAAGTAGGAGATCAGAGAAGGTGAAAAAGTAAAAAAGAAATAAAGAATGATAATTATGTACTCCCTCCATTCCTATTTAAAAGTGTCAATTTATTTTACGCACAATTTAAGAAAATGACATTGTTTGACACTGTGTTGGCATTATTTGGCACTGCTTGACACTGTTTTGTTTATCAAATAAGGAAACAACACTTCTTTTAGGGACGAACCAAAAAAGAAAGTGGGATATTTAATTTATTAAGGGACGAAGGGGATATTTTTAAAGGAAACACTTACCAAAAAGGGAAATTGCACCAAACTTTTAAAAACATTCCAAATAAGAAAGTGTAACAAACTTTTAAATAGGGATGAAGTAATATTTTCGAAAGTTAACAGTATTTACTCTATAGAAAATAAAAACATTGCAATTTTATTTTGAAATTTGTACTTATATTTAAAGCTATTTCTTTTTTCTTTTATCATCCAAATAGTTTCTCCATAATTGTTTTAGGGAATTGCTCCAAATATGAGAATAATATACTCGTAGATAAAACACACTAATAAGAGTCATTACTCCTGATTTATTTTCAAAATATGAATAATTTAATTTTATTAAAATCATAAGAAATTCCCAATTAGGTTGTTTATGACGTGAAGAGCATTGTCAAGCTTGTTAAGAAACGACACTCGTTTGGGAATATGATGGATCGCTACAGCAAGAAGGGTAATGACACGTTATCCAGGAGGGTATGTTTCTTGTTTAAAATATAATCCATATTTCTTCACCCGCCACTAAAAACTAGGCAAATTTGAAAATAATAATCTCAATTATTCCTGATCTGCTAAGAATAATTTCAAATATTGATTATTTTTATATAATCCCAACTATATAGACCGTCCGCCAATAATGCTACATGACCAGATAACAAGTGAATTTCAAATAGAAATTAAGCGTAAAAATTAAAAGTTAAGATTATTTATAGGGATCACTTGTTATATCTCTTCTCATCCACTTTAGAAACTATAAAAATTTATTTATAGCCAGTCACGTCGGATCATTATTGGCGCAAGATATCTAAAGTTGGGATTATTCTGAAATAATCAATAGTTGGAATTATTATGAGTGGATCGTCAATAGTTGAGATTATTACTATCAATTTTTCCCTAAAACAATACTCCATATTGTATTACGGAATTGACACGAATTGATTGACGATTTCGTGCCACATAATTCATTCTAAAAGTATTTTTGACACATATTTGACATATCCCTGTCAATTTCTCTATAAATTTGAACTAATCCCTACAAAAAATTCTATCAAACCCGTGTTTTTTGTAGTACACATTTCTAATAATGTTCCTCGATTTTTCAGTCAGGCTTTCTTGGACTTTTTGGTAAACAACAAACATACCTCGAGTACTATCAAGATCAAACCGAAAAGCTGGACAAAAAAGTAAGTGGTGCATCTACTTTTTCCATTTTTATGTTTAATCTCGATTTTTCATTAAGGAAATTAAAGGCATGAGTAGTTTGTCCACTAATGTTACTAAAGGGTAAAATGGGAATTGGATGTATAAAAGTAGTTACTCCCATTCCCAACTTACTTCTCGATTACTTCTTATAATCCCATTATGCAAAGACTAACAGGTAATGGGTTTTGGTAAAAAAAACATATAATGGGTTCAAACAAGGTAACCGTTTGAGTCATTGATCGACCGTACACCAACAACTAATCAATTTAAGCCCACAAAAAAATGTTGTTCTTTTGTTTCAACATTTTAATTTAAGCTTATAAACGCACAACTTTGCTCATTATTATATTTAATTGTCAATGAGCAAAAAATAAATTATAAATCAGATTATGAACAGTTGTAATGAGACGGATTCAACAATATTTTTCAAAAATAATAATTTTCATCTATTAATAAATAAAATATATTCAAAGTAGACAACAATTTTCCATGTTATAATAAAAAAAGAAACAGAGTATAGTACTTAAGCTATTTTTTAATAACAAAATGTGATATTCATTGATGATTCCCAAAGAGATGATTCCCAAATGAGATATTGCTTTCATTGATGTAGTGATGAAATTCATATTTACATCATTAGAAGGGGGAATCTCATCCTTTTTCGACACACACGCGGAACAAATGAGAAGAAATGGAATAAAAAATGTAATTAAAAATAAAATGGTAGGTAAGAAATCGGATAATAGGACAGGTAACGGAGTGGGTATATATAAAACTGCAAGTCTTATATGACATCCATACTGAATTATCGGTGCAAGTATCGATCCACCTACTGAATTAAAATTGACATCCATACTTTCAGTCTTTTAGCAATTGTGACAAAGACACTTTATTTAAAGTCTCTTTTCATAAATTTGAACTTTTAGGATGTTTTGTTGGACGGTTTTCAGTCCCAGATCAGACCAGACTAATTAATGTTAAAAGTTACAAACTTTTTTTAGATACTATTCAGTTTAACATGTCAAAAAGATTTTTCAGTTTGATAGAAGCTCTTAAAAATTGTCATGTCAAATACTTCGTATACAACTAGAAGTTTCTAGAGACTTTTAAATAATGGGTCTTGCTAGAGGTACACGTTTTGTGTACACGTTTGGTGTACACATGTTTGTGACAGACAATTTGTCTGTGAAGGACAGACATGTGTACACCAAACGTGTACCTAAAGCATTTTCCTTAAATAATACTCCATACATAAGCTAGAAGGTAGAGACGTATGGCTACCGCATTTGTCTTTAGGCCGTTTATATATAATACTTTCTTTTCACGAGTATTATTATGTGTTTGAGGTAATTAATTATAAATAACATTTGGTTGACCTGCATGGTGTTAGTTGAAGAAGAAGCGTGAAAAGATTCTGGAGGGTCCAGAGTACATGCATGCAACTGCATTTGTGACATTCAAAACGCGATGGGGGGCTGCTGTTTGTGCCCAGACACAAATAGACCAGAACCCTCTTCTCTGGCTCACAAGTCGAGCCCCTGAACCTCGAGATATAGAATGGAAGAACCTCTCAATCTCCCCTCTTTCTATAACCTTCCGCAGAATCTTCATCGCCATACTATTGTTTGCTTTGATCTCCTTTTACATGATACCCATTGCGTTTGTTCAATCTCTCGCAAACTTGGAAGGTTTAGAAAAGGCTGCACCTTTCTTGAGGCCATTAATTGAATGGTAAGTAAATAATTAAGTTGTACTAGTACATATTTACTTCTCTCTTTTCCTCTTTTTTCCTTTTTATAAATGTCTCAAACTTTTTGTACAATATTGTTAAATTCCTCTCATAGTAAATTTTCAAAATATGAATTTTTTTAATTTTTTACCAATAGAGAATGAAGTGTGTAGTAGTGGTCAAACTTGTGCATTGACAAACATCAAAAGTGAACCGTTGCAACTAATTAAAGAGAATGGAGGAAATAATAAAGCACAAAATGTGTAGTTGAGGTTTTGGTACAAGGAAGAGAAATAACATGAAGTCATGAACTACATTACAATTAGTTAATGAGGTATGACAAAGTTTTTGGAACAATGACACAAATGGGAAAATTACATTATACAAGAAAAATGACAAAATTATAAGGGACATACATGGAAGAAAGTTGTGGTGTCTTTATTTAATTTTAAGTGGTCATCTAAGATTTGAACTCGCAAGGTTTTATTTAAAGAAACTATTTAAAATAGGAGTAACTATATATTGTAATTCCAAAATAGGGAATTACTATTATTCTCTAAATAAGAGTAATTACTGGTATTTGGAAAATGTTGCAAATGTGACAATGTATATGGACACATATATTTAGGGCAGGATAATGTTACATTTTGAGGGTGATGGTAGTGTGTATTCATACTTAGGGAAAAGGCACACATTGTTTCTACTCATATTTCATAATTTTCCCAATGGGCCTGTAATTATTTGATTTTGATTTCTAGTGGTCGGTTGGGATTCAAACTAAAGACTTGATTTAGCAACTTTTTATTTATGAGTTCAAACTTTTTAAAGACTTGATTTAGCAACTTTTTATTTATGAGTTCAAACTTTTTATTTATGATTGAATCGGTAGGTTATATTTACTCATTCTCTCCGATCCTGTATTTGAAAAGAGAGCACAGAGCGCATAATAATATATTTGATGAGTTTTTGTCCCTTTTAGTCCTTTGATTATTATGTCATTAACACTTTTAATACTTGACTTTAATTTTTTTCATTTTTAGTGCATCGACTATTGTGTGAAAGACACTACTTTTGGTACTTGCCTTTGAAAATTTTACATTTAGTCTTTCGACTTTCATTAAAGTAATGTTTTTTGTCTTTCACCTATTATAATAGTGACATTTTAATCTTCCACTTATTGTATCAAAATAGTAATGGAACGACTAAAAGTGTCGATTTGGTAATACTGAGGGGACTAAATGAGAGAAATTTTGAAATTGAGGACTAAATTAAAAGTGTCTCTCGCACAATGAAAAAAATGAAAATCGAGTATCAAGAGTATCTAATATATTTGATTTCAATAGTCATGGGACCAGAAATGACAAAAACGTAACTCTGTATTTTATTTCACTTGTGTTTCGCGTGCGGGTTACTAATTCATGCAGGAAGGTGATCAAGTCATTCCTACAAGGTTTCGTTCCTGGTGTAGCACTTAAAATCTTCATGTTAATTCTACCAGACATTCTTCTGGTCATGTCTAAAATTGAGGGACACGTTGCGTTATCAGCAATTGAAAGGGAAGCAGCAGAGAAGTACTATTATTTCATTTTAATCAATGTATTTTTAGGAAATATTGTGCTAGGCACAGCTTTCCAACAACTACATGCTTTTCTTAGCCAGTCTGCTTCTCAGTAAGTATGCATTATTTTTAACCTATCTACTGGCTATTGCATCAATCTACTTTTTTTTTATGGAAAAAGCATCAATGTACTTATAACCATAATATATATACTCCCTCCGATTCAAAAACAAGTTCCACCTTTCCTTTTCGGGCAGTTCCAAAATTAAATTCCACTTTCAAACATTTCCTTATTTGGCAAATTATCTACATCAAAACACTGTCAAACGGTGCCAAACAGTGTCCAAACAGTGCCAAACAGTGCACTTCACAGTAAAATCAAATTTCTTTTCTTAATATGTGTGAAATCAAATGTGGATCTTGTTTTTGAATCGGAGGGAGTACCATGTATATTGCAAAGGATATACTCCCTCCGTTCTCTAATAGATGGGAGTATAGACTTTGGCACAAGTTTTAAGAAGGAATTAATAGGGGTAAAATAAAAGGTGTAGTGGGTTGTGTGGAAAGGAAAAAGTATGAAAGAGAATGAAAAAGTAAGAAAGAAAATGAGGGTATATATGTATATTTATTGAAAAAACTTTCTAAAAATGAAAAGAGAAACATGTATTGGAGAACGTCACGAAATGGAAAGAGGGGCATGTATTAGAGAACGGGGGGAGTATGAAGTATTTCAATTAAGGACAAGAAAGTACTACCTCCGTTCCAAAAAACTTTGACATTTCAAAAAATTTGAACTGTGATTTTAATAAGTATAATATAATGGAATCTATAAATTTTGTGTTTTTATGAAAGTATTTTTAACAAAGAATGTTTTTATATATTTTTTACATAATAAATAATTTACGATCAAAATATATAGTTGGTCAAAGTTTTGAAAATAATTTTATACTACCTCGAGGTAGTATAAAATTAAAGCGAGAAAGAAAAGGAGAACAAAAGAAAAAGATAGAGATCAAATTGATAGTACATAGATGTATCATATGAAATGCGCGCCTTTACTCTATATGTCTACGCTGAAATTAAAAACCTCAATGCTCCGAGTGAGCTTGAGTGTATCGGCATCACTTTCTGTAAATTTTGATTTACATGTTTTGATCCATATAAAAATAATTATTTCTCGTGACCAATTATATATGCCTTATTGAAGATATCTTGGTTAGTGTCAAAATCGCACAAATCTTCCACCGCCGATGTCGGAGTCTACGTACTTTTCGTTCTATGAAGTGTGATCTAAATATGTAATCCTAAATTTGAATCGAAAAATGGTCCATAAGGTCACCCATTATATATATACACACATATATAGGGGGCGAGTCTAGCACAAATTTTTCTTATAGTGCAAATTAAAATTTTGTACGATGCATCTTTACGCTATTTGTATTACATGTTGATGTTTAAAATGTTGCATATTATTCTGCGATGAAATAAACTATTGCATAATAATGTTCAAAGTGTTGCATCCGGAAAAGTTTGATTTTATTAATTACCAAAGTGCCAGTGGTGTATTCCAACCCTTAGATCAATTCAACGGATGATCAAGATGAGTCCGCTTTTCGTTCGGCAGTTCTAATTATTAAGCCCACAACTAGAGTTAGATTTCCATAAGTTTTTACCTTTCCTATTTAGTGCATGTGTTTCTTACATATATAAGTCAATTTCTTAAAAAGTGTCTAGTACTACTGGTAGTTGTCTTATATATTTGGTACATCACCTTTTAAGACATGAGTTGTTTTGGGGAAAAAAAGTATTTATTTGATAAGCTAATATGAGTTGTTTTCAATAGAAATGTTTGTAGCTTTTAGCATTAATTACAAATTCAGAGTCAAAATAGTTGATATACCAAACATGATTACATCAAATGGATAACTTTTATCATACAATTACAATCTTAAATTATAATTTCCAATGTGTTATACCTTTGATCACTTACATTTCTATTATTTGAGAATGCAGAATACCAAGAAATGTTGGAGTATCCATACCCATGAAAGCTACCTTCTTTATTACATACATAATGGTGGATGGGTGGGCGGTCGTTGCTGCTGAGATTCTTAGGCTGAAAGCCTTAGTCATGTATCATCTCAAGAACATGTTCGCCAAAACCAAACGGGACAGAGATAATGCAATGTACCCTGGGGGTGTAGAATTTCACAAGACCCTCTCCACTCTTCAACTGTACTTTCTTCTCGGTAGTGTATATGCGGTGGTTACTCCAATCCTTCTTCCTTTCATCATTGTCTTCTTCATCTTGGCCTACTTTGTATTCCGTCATCAGGTATTATTCATTTGTTAAAGTATTTGTTCCTAAACCAATTCATTGAAAATAATAAACTAATACATACTCACTCCGTTTCAAAATAATAGTTACGGATTTCCATTTTGGTTATCCCAAAAATTTTGTTACATTTCCTATTTTGACAAATGATCGTGCATACCATATATAGTTTTACATCTTATTTTTACTTGAATCTACAACTTTATCATTCCAACATTGCTTCTTTTAAACTACTAGAGTAAAAGGTGAAGATTGTTTAGGTACTGTGTTCCATTTCTCAATCAATAATGAGCCTAAGAGTTTTGTCACTATTAATTTGGGACGGTGGTAGTATATAAGATTTATTCATCCAATCCGTTAATGAATCCTTTATGATGTGACTAAGATCTTTATATGCAATTACCCATTCGGAAGTAATATTGGGTGTATTATTATTGTGTAGGTTATCAATGTATATCATCAGGAATATGAAAGTGCTGCTGCATTCTGGCCGGATGTCCATGGCCGGATAGTAGCAAGCTTAATCATATCTCAACTTCTTTTGATGGGTTTACTTAGTACAAAAAAGGCTGCTAAGTCAACGCCTTTGCTTCTTTTGTTGCCTTTTTTCACCTTCGCGTTTCACAAATATTGTAAGAGCCGATTTGAACCCGCGTTCAAAAAATATCCTCTCAAGGTAAGAACTAATGTACTTGGCAATCAAGAAGATTTTCAATATTTCTAGTAATATTATTAGACCTTTGTCGATTCATAAGTTGCGCGTTGAGGTACTTTTTCACACTATCATAATAAAAACTTTTAAACTAGTATAGAAAATACTCCGTATTGTACTACTTACCTCTAGTGCTGACCTTTTATTCCATATTTTGATATAATGCCAGATGCAAAGTCATTTATGATCTGATTGTTTGTTTGACATCTATAACCTAACTTGAGATCATTTTTATGATTGATCTTCTTTTTCACCAATGGGGTGTCTTGAAGTATTTCCTACTACGCTACGATATAATATATTAAATCACTACAATTTTGTGATACTGCGATCGATCCTGGTATGTTAACGATGATCACCTCTACTTCGAGATCTCATCTATGTTATTCCTCACAATTTTTCAGGAAGCAATGGCTAAGGACAAGTCAAATGGTGAGGCTGATTTGAAGAAATATCAAGATAAATATCTGAATCCAGTTTTGCTCCCATTCTAAAAAGTTTAATTGGATGACATTTAAGTCAAGGGACAAAAATAATCTAAGTTCTTCTAACTTCCAAGTTTGGTAATCTAGCGGTCTGGCGAACATTGATCTTCCTAGTAAACATACTAATCTCTGGTGGGTGGGTGGGTGGGGGTATCCTTTATTTTCGTAGATACATGTCACAAACAAATGTTATTCAGAGTTTGTTTGTATTGTATGTAGTAGTTGCTAATTGATCATGAAGGATGTGACAAGGCTATAAATAATACTCCCTCCGTCCCATTTTGGTTGTCCTACTTTCCTTTTTGGGTTGTCCCAAAATGAATGTCTTGTTTCCTTTTTTGGCATGAAATATGTGGTTCTTATTAATTCACTTTATTCTACTCAAATCTCAACCACAACTTTTACTTTTCAACCACTTTATTAATAATTGTGCCAAATTGAAAGTGGACAAGCATTATGGGACGGAGGGAGTACTCCGTATGTAGTATGTGCATTTGTACTACGCGGGATTATGGATTTATAATTTGCACCTCACAAAGTAGGAATAATCAAGTTTGTAGGAACTCTTGTTAAGATTAATAGTAAGAAGATATATGAGTATGTGTATTATCATTTAATTTTTAACAAAGTAATAAAAACATATTGAATAAGAAAACACAACAACTTAAATAGAAGAAAGAATGCATGTCGTCTAGAATAAGATAAATTTAGGAGTAAGTTCGGGATACTTACATTAATTTTTCACCAGAGCGTTGCACGGGGTGATTTCATAGGGTGTGATGGACAGTGTACCCGGGGGTAGCTTATCCGGGGGGTTATTATGAGAATAACCTAGAGAGAAGTCAGAGCAAACAAGTAAGAGAGAGAGAGGCGATTGTATTAATGAACTCGAGATGTTCTGGTCCTTTACAATGGGAAAAGGGGGTGCTATTTATAGCAGCAATAAATGCGACGAGAGTACACGTGGCGATAATCTAACGGCCGAGAGGTCACCTCAATCGGGTGGCACCGGCATCCTCATGTGCACCGCATTAAATGCGGTGGTTGGATGTGACACCGCATTAAATGCGGTGGTTGCTTGTTTTCAAAGGGAATCTTCGATGATTGAGCTGTTTAGCCGAAGGCTTGCCCCGCGTCCGAGGGCTCTGTGCAGCCGAAGGCTTCCCTGATGCCGAGGGCACGAAAGTGCCGAAGGTTCCTGATTTCTACTATTTTCTCCCAATAGCTTTGTATGCTCAACCCTAGTGCCCTGTGAGTTTTGGAGCCTTTGGCCATGATGCCGAAGGCTACCCCAAACGCACCATGGGCTTCTTTGAGCTTGGGCCGTTGTGCCTTGGGCCTCCTGTGCTTCTTGGGCCTGTGTTGGAGTAGTGGGAGTCTGTGGGCCAGGGGTTCCTGGGCCATATACTCCATCAGGGTGTTTGGAAAATAGCATTTCAGTCGACGGTTTGATCCCTTTTAGCGTTTTTAGTAAGAAAGGATGTGTTGATCCCTTTTAGCGTTTGATCCCTTCTAGCGTTTTCAGACGAAGACATACGAGTATGTGTATTATCATTTAATTTTTAACAAAATAATAAAAACATATTGAATATTCTTGCAAAAAAAAACATATTGAATAAGAAAACATAACAACTTAAATAGAAGAAAGAATGCATGTTGTCTAGAATAAGATAAATTTACGAGTGAGTTCGGGATACTTACATTACAAGTACTAGATTTTTCACCCGAGCGTTGCACGGGGTGATTTCATGGGGTGTTTGGAAAATAGCATTTCAGCCGACAGTTTGATCCCTTTTAGCGTTTTTAGTAAGAAAGGATGTGTTGATCCCTTCTAGCGTTTTCAGCCGAAGATATACGAGTATGTGTATTATCATTTAATTTTTAACAAAATAATAAAAACATATTGAATAAGAAAACATAACAACTTAAATAGAAGAATGCTTGTTGTCTAGAATAAGATAAATTTAGGAGTAAGTTCGGGATACTTACATTACAAGTACTAAAATTTTCACCCGTGCGTTGCACGAGGTGATTTCATGGGGTGTTTGGAAAATAGCATTTCACCCGACGGTTTGATCCCTTTTAGCGTTTTTAGTCAGGAAAATGTTGTTTAATAAGTAAATGTTCGGTCTTAGCATTTTTAGATGGAAACGCTGAAATGAAAAACTGCAAATAGGAGAGTTTTGAGTTAACATTTTGAAATGTGGTGTTTTTTATTAATTATTGTGACCAAACAGCTAAATTACCAAACATCTTCTGTCAACCCGTCAACTTATTCCATTAATCAAACTTGTTGACTGAATGTCTGAATCTACTATTGACAATCAACTAACATAATCTATTGTCCGCTAAACGCTAAGGGCACGTTTGGCATAACTAGCTGAAAAGATACTTTTGTGAGCTTTTTAATAGCTGTTAACTTTTAGTGACTGAAAAGATCTTAAAAATAAAAGGTGGTAGCTGTTTGATGAAAAGCTGACTGTTTGATTTAGTTCGGTTTGGTATACAAGCTGTTTGGATTAATTAATACTAAAAGTCACTAGCTTTTCTTAGATGCTACTCCCGGTAGCATCTCAAAAAAGATCTTTTAATTTTTGAAAAGCTCTTAAATATTGTCATGCCAAACACACAACTAGAAGCTTTTAGGAACTTTTTGAACAGTACAAAAGCTAGAAGTCAGGGACTTATGCCCGCCAAACATATCAGACCAGATCAGAAAATTTCAGTCCAAGCGGATTACATGAGCTTAAGTGGCTGATCTGCCATTGTGGGAGCGTGTTTTGACCCGTTTTCCAAAAGGGCCCTTCTTGGTGTACACAAAATATGTACATTGTCTGTGTACACAGACAATTTGACAACAAGTCATACCCTTTTAAACGAATTGTACGTGCACACATGCACCTAGGGGGTTTTGTGTATAAGTTGTGTACTTGTGTACAACTTGTGTACACTAACAATTTTCCTTTCCAAAATCTTTGAGTGCAAAAGTGTGGAGTATTTACCGAGGTAAGAATAAAAATATCTGTTTTTACGTTATGTAAAAACGTAAAAATATCTGTTTTTTTTTTAAGGGAAAAGGTGCAAATAGGCCCATGTACTAACAAAAAAAGGTCAAATAAGCCCTTATTTAGGAGGCTTTGTCCGACCGTCGCCATTTGGAGTGGTTCCCGGTTGAATTTGTTGATGAAATTTTTTGAACATCTTATTCATGAAGTCTAGTTTGCTCATACCAAATTTCAGCTAAAACTTCAATCGGGAAGGCATTCAAATGTATTCTTGAAGATAGCTGCGCTTCTAACTGCGAAGTTATTTTCAAGAATTCATTAGAATGCCTTCCCGATTGAAGTTTTAGCTGAAATTTGGTATGAGTAAACTAGACTTGATGAATAAGATGCTCAAAAAATTTCATCAAAAAAATCCACCGGGAACCACCCCAAATGACGACGGCCGGACAGAACTTCTTAAATAAGGGCTTATTTGACCTTTTTTGGTTAGAACATGAGCCTATTTGCACCTTTTCCCTTTTTTTAAAGCTGTTTTGATTTGTTTCCTAAACGAATCCCGTGATTACGGAAACTAATCAGCGATTTTGTCATAATAATTATTACGAGTCTCGTCTCTATGTTCTTATGGTCTTACCAGTTACCACCTTTTCTGAGCTACTTTCAATGGGAGCTCGAAATTTCCAGAACATATGCCGAATAAAGCACTAAACGCAACCCGTGACGAACCCATCCACGTGCAGACAAACCACACTCCCCTTTACGCATCTCGAGAAACTTCTATTTCAGAAATTTGAAAGAGGGCAGTAGAAATTGGACGAATCCAGAAATGAGAAATCACTACATTTAGGTTAACAAGTTCAATTTTCGTGCTGAAGAGGGATGGCGACATTGGCGGACATTGGAGTATCGGCGTTCATAAACACGGTGACGGCCATAGCTTTCCTGCTTGCCTTTGCTCTGTTAAGGATTCAGCCCATCAATGACAGGGTTTACTTCCCGAAGTGGTACATTCTCAAAAAGCGGAGTGAGGAGGACCCCGGCGGCGAAGGTCACAATTTCGTCAGAAAATTCATCAACCTCAATCTCAGGACGTACCTGACTTTCCTCAACTGGATGCCTCAGGCTCTGAAGATGAATGAGTCCGATCTTATAGGTCATGCTGGTCTTGACTCTGCGGTCTTCTTGAGGATTTATACACTTGGGTATTCAATTATTCTTACCCTTTTCTTCTTCTTTCAATTTTTTTTGTTTTTCTCTTTGGTGTTTTTTGCCATAGTTTTTACTTTTTATACTGCACCTTTATTTAATACGGAGTAATGGTTTGTGTTTTACCCAACTGGAAAAACTCTAACTTCCACCCCTTATACAAATAATAACCATATAATAGCTCTGGCAGAGTCATAAATTTAGGGCGGTCAAGATTTAGGGTTGGTTTGCAAATGCTTCAAAAAAAAGCACTCCTCACCTTTTGACTTAAAAAATCACTTATTTTACCAAACACCACAAACTTTTATTTTTCTCGGTTTTCGTTTCAAAAGTACTTTTACTTTTTCTATTACACAAAAAGCACTTATTTTACCAAACACTACCAACTTTTACTTTTAAAAATCACTTTTTTCTCAAACACTATCAACTTTTATTTAATCAATTCTCCCATTTCATTAAAAAAAGCATTTTTTTAAAGCAGAAGTTGTTGCAAACAGACCCTTAGAGGTACAAAAATACTAAGAGCTTATTGGTTTATAACTTCATACGAAGTACTTCTTATATTATAGGAACTTTAGAGTCCGTTTGGTAACCCTGTTTTTCGGCTTATCAACTTTATAAGCGAATTATTTCAGCAAACAAGTAAATTTTGATTTCGCGCGCTTAGTTGTGTACTAATCAAAATACTTAACGTTGGAGTTATTCTTCCGGCTAGATTGGCTGAAGTTACTGTAGAGGGTCATTTTAGCTATTTTTTCATATAATTTTTTATTACTTTAATAATAAAATATATGTTACATACAATTTTTTCATAATTCAACAGAATCGGTCAATCTAGCCATTTCAGCCAGAACTTCATAAATTTCAGTGTTACCAAACAAGCTCTAATTTTCAGAGTGATTTAGGGAAATGAAATATATATGTATAACAATTAACAAGTGTCAAATATGTAATTTATTATTACGGGTATGGTATATATATATTAATTGGACTGGTTTGAGACTATATTAGACCAAACTTAAACATATTAGATCAACTAGTTGACCAGACTAGGCTTAGACAGTGGTAAAATACACACAGAATAGACATCTATCAGACTAGCTTAGATCAGATCAGACTTAAACGAATAGTTACAGGCCAAATTAGAGAATTAGTCTAAGTAGGAATACAATCTCAAATTTTATCTATTTCAAAATTCTAAATAGTGTTTATTCGGTAAAGACCTTAACTTGACTTATAATGAGTTGCACGACCCATAATTGGGGTGCTAATCAAGCAAGCCTTATTCCAAGCTACTCCAGATTAACTCGATTATTACTCGAATATAACTTGACTCAATTCAAACTTGAGTCGTACTCAAATTTGACTCGAATCAAACCAAGTCAAGTTCTAGCTATACACATACGCTCGAAAAGCTAGCAAGCTGCTCGATTATGAGTTGGTGTTGATTATTTTGAATTCATTCATTTGACATTACATCATGTATTCATAGTATGGATACATACATAAAAATTATATTTATCTCCTACTACAAGTCTACAAATATATTAGAGATTCACTTATTGCATAATTTTTTTAGAAAATATTCTCAAATTGTTATGTGGATTATAGACATTCTCAGGTAATGCTGAAGCAGAATTAAGTAGGACTAATTGAACTTAGTTCATCTTAGGTTTAGATTATTCGATAAATCATACGTAATAGACGGCAAAAAGAGTCCTAATATCTAAGAGACAACTAGACGGAAAATTTTAAAACAATGTTTTTATGTTTAAAAAGGTATTCATGATTGCACATGTGTGTTTGAACATATAACAAATTAAACAATTTGTTTTAAAATATACTCCCTCTGTCCCAATATAAAAGGCACACTTTCCTTTTCGGTCCGTCCCAATATAAAAGACACATTTCCCTTTTTGGCAAACAAAAGAGTGTCAAACAGTGTCCAAACAGTGTCTAAACAGTGCCAAACAGTGTTCAAACACTGTTCACCCTTAAAAAGTCCCCAAACGCAAATGTGCCTTTTATATTGGGACGGAGTGTTCACCCTTAAAAAGTCCCCAAACGCAAATGTGCCTTTTATATTGGGACGGAGGGAGTATTATTTTTAGAATAGATAAAACTCGAATACAACTCAAACTCGACTCGAACTGAGACTCAACTTGAACCATGTCGTAATTTTTTTACTTGAACTCGGCCTTTCTTTATCAAGCCCAACTCAAGCGGAACTCGAGCTCGACTTGCTTGATTCGCACCCCTACGGTCCTACCCATAACATACATTAAATATCAAATAGATAGTAGAAGGTATTTGAGGGTGTCGACTGTCAACCCCGACACTGCCTTGGCTCTGCCCCTGGATAGTAGTATTTCTATATAATCATAATAGCATACGTGTATTAATAGTGGCAACCTGCTTGCAGGGCTGGTCCTGACATATAAAAGGTCCTGTTCAAAATTGAATTCGAGACCGTGAAGTATAAAACACAATATTAGTGTTCCCTCCGTTCTTAAATAATATGAAGTACTACCTCCGTCCCATATTGGTTGTCCTGTTTTAATTTGACACGATTATTAATAAATGATTGAAAAGTAAAAGTAGTGGTTGAGATTTGAGTAGAATAAAATGAAATGATAAGGACCACATGTTTCTTGCCAAAAAGAGAAACATGACATTCATTTTGGGACAACCTAAAAAGGAAAGTATGCCAATTAAAATGGGATGGAGGGAGTAGTCTCCTTAGGTTTTTTGTGATTTTTGAGAAGAAAATAGTAGGGGTAGTATAAAGGTGTATGGTAAATGAAAAAGTAGAAAAGAGAATACATTAAGAAGAGTAAAATAATGATAAAGTAGGAAAGAGAAAGTCGTATTATGGAAGTCCGTCCCAAACTCTACTAGGGCTTTATGCTAATTACTATAACTAGGCCTTATGTAATAAATCAATTGTACAATTGTAATTAACAATTGCATTTTAATTGTATATAAATATTACCTATTTAATGTTTCTAATTTTAAAAAAACTAAAATTGGAATCTTTAATCAAATAAAAAGGGTTTTGTATATTATGTAGACTATATTAAAAAATTTGGGCCTCCTGAATCGAGAGGCTTTGTGCGCTAACACTTCTTGCACGCCCTTATCTACGTACGGCCCTTTGCCTCCTCGGCACCACCTTTGGGCTCTGGTGGTGGCTGGCATATTTTGGTGCCACTTTCAAATTTTCAATGACGGCTTCTATTTAACTGCATCATCCTGTCTGAAACGGGAGATAATAGGAATAGCCAGTAGTGTAACTATGTATCCATAGTAGTATATGCTTTTTTAAAATTTTACTTAATGTACCAACATATTTAGTTGAGCTGTTTGTGAATCATAATTTGGTCAGGTCTTCTTTTTGTACGTAGTTTGATCTTAATAGATCAGGCTTTTCCCAATGACTAGAAGAAAATGAGTAAATGTTCCTGGATGTTTAAAAATATAAATAATGACTAATATATGACTAAAATGAAGATGATAGATAATAAAAACCATGACTTTAAAATGCATTGAGCATAGTAGTGATGGTATTGACTATGATTATGTTCAATTTTACACTGCAGCAACCATGACAATATAATAATTGTAACTCTAGTCACATTTTTATCTATAAGTTTTATTTTAGTAATATTTTATCAATAAATCTTAAAAATAAATAAATTATATAAGCTATTTGAAGGTACTCTTGCCTTAAAACCATTGATATTTCATCCTAAAAATTCGGATCGATAATGGACTATGATATCATGTTATGAATTATAGTTTTATCTTAAAACATTAAGAAGTAATCTCAAAGTTTATCCCAAGTCTGTGTGGGATGACTTAGGATGCTTTACTTGAACTGAAATTTTCTAGTCTGGTATGGTCTGGTAGATGCCTGTCTAGACAGTATATTTTACAATTGCCGAAGTTTGGTCTGGTTTGGTAAGAAACTCAAATAAGTCCAATTAAAAACATCCTTAATACTTGTCGCGATAATTTCCTAGAAAGAGTTATAAGATGGTTAAATCCCTCTTACATTATGTTTTCATCTCAAATGGTAAATGGTTAAGTCTCTAACATTATGGTTTTCAACTCAAATGGTAAATGTGATTATTTGTCATCATCGTCATCATTCTATCATCTTTGCTATCCTCTGCTTTAAACTTTATCAGTTATCACACAATGGAATTTAAGACTTGGTTAGTTTAGATTTAGTTCTACTATAAAATGCATTCTCTTAGCTTGCATCTCCTACACATGTTTGCAAATGTTTATACTATGTATATGTTGGTGCATTTTTCGCATTCAGTTAGCATTCCAACATTTAATCATTCACAATTTTGTATCATACTCATGTCCTGTAAGCTGATGCTCTTGCATTTTTTACGGTTATCCGGTCTTCAAATCTTTTTCAAGTGGATTTGTATGTCTGTTTACTTATTTTATATTTTTAATTTCCTTTATTTTCGGATTCCCGAGTAATGAACTATCTGTGTTTGACAGTTTAAAGATATTTGGACCAACAGCCATTGTAGCTCTCTTGGTTCTTATTCCAGTTAATACTTCAGATGGAACTCTATTCTTTCTCCGTAAGGACCTGGTCGTTAGTGAGATTGACAATTTGTCCATATCCAACATTAGGCCCAAATCGATGAAGTAAGTTTTATTTCATAATGATAGTTAGATTTATATGGTTTTTGCACTATGCTCCATTCAAATCTATTCCTTAAAAAATCCATATTGCTGTAATCAATTTTCTGATGTAGCAATAAATACAACCTTTTTGTAATATGTGCTGTGAAATGGAGAAGAATGACTTAGCGTAGTGATGTTGTAAACTAGCATACATTCTATGACTAATTACACATATAAATCAATGGCTTACTAAATTCTACTTTTTTTTTCTCTTAATATAAGGTGTATAGGTTTAGTTGGTCTGGCACTTAGAGATGTACTTGTTGATTCAGATTTTTTGTGCACATAGCAATGGAGTATTTGTTCACATTTTGGACCTGTTATATGCTGTACAAAGAATATGGCAGAGTGGCGTCAATGAGATTTAATTTTCTGGCTTCTCAGGGCAGGCGAGTTGAACAGTTCACTGTGAGTTAACAATCAACTTATTGTCCTTTCTAATGTTTGAAAAATGTGATTTTATTTTTTCATCAAGGTTCATCGGTTTCAATTTTGACCCATACAGTGGCAAATTTAGATCAAATCTATGACTTCTGGTCTAGGCATTGGTAGTCTGCTTGGAAAATTGGTCCATGTTTTTAAACCATCCAACACTGGAACAAAAGATACTCCCTCTGTTCCATTTTACGTGCCTTACTTTCATTTTTGGGTTGTCCCAAAATAAGTGTCCTATTATATTTTTTGGAAAGAAATATGTGATCCACAATGTTTCACTTTATTATACTTAAACAACAACCACAACTTTTACTTTTTCAACCACTTTATTAATAGTTGTGTCAAACCAAAACAAGACACATAAAATGGGACGGAGGTAGTACAAACTATGTAATGCATTGGACTACTCGTCCTATTTGGTCAAGCTTTTAGGACTCCAAATCTACTATGGTATCATATTCAACCAAGTTCAAACAAGTAATAGACTATAAAGATGACAAGGATATAAACTTTTTCTATCAGGTTTACCATTTAGAATGTAATCATAAGTCTTGTAATTTATGACAGATTTCCACCTCTGGCTCATCTTTTATATGATTAGGAATCAATATGCTAATTTTGGAGAATATGATGGTAATTGGTAAGTGTCTCGATTACAAGTCGCAGGCTGGATGTGAAATGTGATCATAGTTGATGGACCTGTAGAGAAATTACATCACTTAGGGTTACAGTAGACTGTTTATGCATCTTGCTCAGTGGATTTTCTTTTATTCAGCTGAATTTTGTTCTCAAGGAGTAATATAAAAATGCACTCCAGGTACTAGTCAGAAATATACCACATCAAGCTGGCCACTCGATATCAGATAGAGTCGAGTCGTATTTTAAAAAGACCAACCCGGATCACTATCTTTGCCACCAGGTATCAATGCATCACAGTTCTTGTTTTCTTTTCTCAATCTTCCACATCAACATATTAGATACAGTTTTCATATTTTTTTTTTCAAATGCTATCTGTAATGTTTCTTATATGCATGACTAGAAACTTATATTTAATCCATGCTAACATCACTAACTTCTCTAGGCTGTCTATGATGCGGGCAAATTTGCCAAACTTGTCAGAAAACGAAATAGGCTTAAGAATTGGCTGGACTACTACCAGATCAAGTTTGAAAGAAATCCAGACAGGAGGCCAACCACTAAGGTATCTACACAAGCATCTCTTTCTGCTATATATTAACATTAATTAACTGCACCATTTACCAAATTCTTATCTTCAGATAGGTTTCCTTGGACTATTCGGTGCAAAGGTTGATGCAATTGACTACTATAATAATCAAGTTAGAACGCTGGACAAAAGAGTAAGCGGTGACTTCCAGATTCTTATGATTTATTAGTTACCCAACAATGAAAAAATACTTTACCCCCTACCACCCGCTTTTTTCAAAAATTTCTTTCAATATTACTAGTAACCACCCATTAGACAAAAATGTTAGGTTATTAATTTTAGATCAGAAATGTTACTAACATAGTTACCTACGGTCAAATTGAGATGACCAATTATCTACGCAGTTACCAATAAGTGATTAGGTACTAGGTTTGTAACGTTTTGTCCTAAAATGAGAAGGTAATATTTTTGTCTAATGGGTAACAAATTAGTAATACTCAAGGGGAAATCCTATTTTTGATTGAACTGTGTGCATATATCCCGTCACTTGTTGATCTGTTCTTGTTATGTATCTGCTTGAAGTAATATTCTTTGTTTCCATCGTCTTAGTTGACATTGATGCGTGACAAGATTTTGAAAGACCCAAAATCCGTCACACCAGCTGCATTTGTATCATTCAATTCAACATGGGCGGCTGCGGTTAGTGCTCAAACACCACAAAGCAAGAACCCCACAATGTGGTTAACAAATTGGGCCCCTGAACCTCGGGATGTATATTGGAAGAATCTTTCACTGTCATTTCTTTCTCTAAGTCTACGGAGACTGATAATACCCATATCACTATTTGCCTTGGTCTTCTTTTACATGATACCTATAGCTTTTGTGCAATCGTTGGCAAACTTGGAAGGTTTAGAAAAGGTTGCACCTTTCCTTAGGCCATTAATTGAATGGTAAGTACATATTCTCTCTGTCTCAATAGAGAGTAATTGTATTTGACTGTTTGTATTTGGAATAACAAGGTAGAGACAATTTGGTGACACTTTCTTATATGAAATCACTAGCTCCCTTCTGAGCTAATTGTTAAAGTTCACAGCGGAAAAAAAAAAGATAACAAGATGTGTTGACAAGATATTGGATCGAACGAGCCAAAGTAATGGATTCAATGTAGTGTAGTTTGGTCTAAATGCCTTGTGGCCCAGCTGAGCGACCCTAACTCAATCCTGAATTCTACAATGAAATAAGAGCAAGTTCTGCCCCACTTTCTTTGTTTGGTTAGCTGTCTGGAAGTCCATCTAAGCGGCATGTGAATCTTTAGCTATGTTGTTTATCTTGACATCTAGCTCAAGCAGGTTGTGGCATATTTAACCCATTTGTGATTTGTCCATCTGGAAATTCAACCTTAGCGGCCAGTCGTCCTTTAAGTGTTACCACTACGTTTTAAATTTTAACTCTAAGGGAGAGGGTGTCTGTCAAAAAAATTATAGAGCGAAATGTGGGTTATTAAGTCCTTGAATTAGCTAAAAGGTTAGATTCAATGTTCTCGTACAGTTTGGTACAAATGCTTTATGGGTCTTGAATAACCTTGAGTCCTTGACTCAATCTTAAATTCTATGTGGAATGAGTTATATTGACGTTTACTTTGAACTTATGAGATAATGCAGGAAGGCAATCAAATCTTTTCTACAGGGCTTCCTTCCTGGTCTAGCTCTTAAAGTCTTCTTGCTTGTTCTTCCAAAAATTCTTATGATGATGTCAAAAGTTGAGGGACACGTGGCAGTATCTGTGCTTGAAAGGAGGACTGCAGCAAAGTATTATTATTTTATGTTGGTCAATGTATTTCTTGGGAGTATTGTGACAGGAACGGCTTTCCAGCAACTCCATGCTTTTCTACACCAATCTGCCACACAGTAATGCATTAAAATTGATATCAACTATTGCAGACCTCTTATAACACCACTCTATTTGAACTCTTCTATATATTCAATGTGTTGATCTTTTTATGTTATTTGAGAATGCAGAATACCAAGAAACATTGGAGTATCAATACCCATGAAAGCTACCTTCTTTATAACGTATATAATGGTTGATGGGTGGGCTGGGATTGCCAGCGAGATTCTCAGGTTGAAACCATTGGTCATTTTTCATCTCAAGAACATATTCATAGTGAAGACTGAACGGGATAGAGAAAAGGCAATGAACCCCGGGAGTGTAAATTTGCACGAAACTCTCCCGACTCTTCAACTATACTTTCTTCTGGGCAGTGTTTATGCTGCAGTTACCCCAATTCTTCTTCCTTTCATACTAGTCTTCTTTGCCTTCGCATACCTTGTATACCGTCACCAGGTTGGCAGTTACCCTTCTGTGATTCCATTAGCCTTTTTTTTGGAAGAAGTGGTAAGCAACTCACATTTTCTATAATGAATTTGTGATTATTGTTTAGGTTATCAATGTGTACGATCAGAAATATGAGAGTGCTGGTGCATTTTGGCCATTCGTTCATGGTCGCATAATCGCAAGCTTAGTGATATCTCAACTTCTTTTGATGGGTTTACTTAGTACAAAAAAAGCTGCCAAGTCAACTCCCTTGCTTTTTCTGTTGCCCATTCTGACATTAGCGTTTCACAAGTATTGTAAGAACCGATTTGAACCTGCCTTCAGAAAATATCCTCTTGAGGTAATATGTTTTATTAACTCAGAATGAGCATTTTCAATATATGGAGTTAAATTCATATGGTGTATGAAGTTTTTTAATTTTTGGTTGGGTAGTTAAGACTTTAAGTTCCATCATAAAAAGTCAGCATACTAGAATTCAAAATCGTATATGTTTGTGTGTTATTGAGACAATATGGAACAAACTCTGCAAATATACATGTATATCACTAACACACAAAAATGTATAAGTATAAATATAATGTATTGGTATATGTGTGAAATTGTTCTTCTCTGTCATTACAGGAAGCAATTGATAGGGATGCACAAGATCATGTGTCTGAATCTGATACTGAATTTAAAGCACAGCTGGCTGATGCATATCTGCATCCAATTTTTCACTCATTCACGGAAGTTGATTTGGCCGAGGTTAACGAAAAAATTATCCGGAGTCCATTTGATGAGCACCTACATCCCCACTCTCAAGCTCATCATTTCAAAGGTGGTCCATTGCCGCTTTAAGAAGCTATCACACAATGTCCAATGCCATGAAGCTCAGACACATAGTGATGACGTTGTATATAATGAGCAATCTCAAAACGTCTATCATTGCGATATCGAACCAAACCAATGTGGTATACCCGTAATTATCTTGATATAGTTGAGGTTCTTTGCGGCGAGGGCGGTGGTGTGGTGTGGGGGTCGTATGCATCTGTGGTGTTATAAGGAGTCAATGTAAGTAGGGAAGTTGAAAAGTTTGGTTAAGAAGTGATGGGCGTCCCATTCTTGGGTTAACATATCGGTTCACAAATTAGTTATAGTTTTTTATGGGTATGTTTCCTGCCTTTGTTCTAAATTTGTTAGGTGTTAGCTGGGTGCTCAAGTACTGTCTAGCCTACCTAATAACATATGGTTACCTTGGTCTCAATCCGGTTCTAGTTTAGTTCCAGACTGGCCGGTTCTGCATGCATAAATGTAGTTGATACCCATGACTACACCTGGCTTTACCTAGTTTTGGACCGATTTCGGGACTTTAGCCTGTTTTCGGGGGGGGGGGGGGGGGGGGGGGGGGGGGGGGGGGCTAGTCCAGTTTAGTCCTACTTAGAGGAGCTAGAACCAAGTTGGACTGGTGCTGGGTATTAGTTTCTGTTGAGAACTGAAATATGGGCAATGGGCCCGGACTTTTACCTCCAGAACCGGAGCTGGGCTACTTTGTTGTGGATGAATAGATGTTATACAACTCATTTATATTGATATTTGATAGTACCAATATTTGATTTATATTAACTCATGATGATTATCCTACTTTCCTACAAGTGTTATTGTACGGCGCTTCTCAAATTTGAATTTGGGCAACAACTGTCTAATGAATAAAAATTTCTAGAAATGAAAGTCAGGGAAAGGTATGAATGTACCCTTTATATTTATTTCCAGGTGTAGATGTCCCTAAGGTTTAGAAAGTTGCAAAAGTATTTTAAAGTATATACTTCGTATTTAGGAGCAAATTTACCCTTATTGATTTAAAATAAATAAAAAAAGAAATACATTATTGAATATATTGGGTTTGGGAATGAAAAACAAATATGTAAAAAAAAATCAAAGTTCGTTTTGTGTTCAATGCTTCTTTGTTACTTTTATATCAAAATTTAATGTTAATAAGATAAAAAGAAGCATTGATTACTAAATATTTGTTTTAATATTTTCATTTCTCAAACACATTTTTAAAATATACTCCGTATCTTTTATATTAAAAAAATGTGAAATTCATATAAAAATATTAAAAGGATAGCATTGAACACAAAATGGATTCATTGATTTATTTTTGATATTTTATTTTTTTTAATTTATTTGTTTACAATAAATAAGGGTAAATTTACTCCTAAATATGAACTTTAGTGACATTTTTATACCTTTCAAAACTCTAGAGGCATAAAGATCCGGATTGATTTTCTAAACATAGATGTTGGCATATCCAAGTCTATTTATTAAAACCATATGACGAATGTTTTAAATAGTGCACCTGAGCCAAGGGAGAATAAGTCTAGGCTCTAGCTTACCTAAAAAAAATCCACCTAATTTTTTTCTCAAAAAAAATTCTTTGTACCTATTCTATCCAGTCAAGTGTCCTGGTTCCGTCCCTATGTGCGCCCACTTGTAAAGCTTTACATGACTTGAATACAAAACAACATTATGGTGCAAAATGTAAACGTGTAAAAGTTCAAATTAATTAAATCAATCAACATTTTGAAGTTCAACAACCATGTGCCGAATTTCAAGTTCAGGAAAATTTTCCAGCTCAGAACAATTTTCGTTAAATTACTCTAGCCCTATCATCATCCTTTCATATACTTGTAGAATTTTCACTTTTAATGTCGCCTACCCTCGAAACAGTAATGGGCACAACACAATCAAATGTTACTGAAAAGGTGCATAACTTGGACATAATTTTGTTAAAAAAAACTTGGACATAATTTGATCGAAAAAGTAGAATTGCATTTTAGAATCCAAAGTTGATTTAAAATGGTTACCATTAATAAATTTTATCACCCTCATCGTAAATACTTAAAGCGCCTCCATTCTGATGAAGTTAAACAAGTAAAGTTTAATATCTGCATGTAAATAAAAAACCACTACACATGACTCATCAATACCATCTATGATTCAATGATCTTAAGTCTTAACGAGTAACTCAGTAAGTATATACTCATCTATCTACCTGCTTAGTAAATCAACAAAACCCTTGACCAGTTGTAAGTAATATCACCAAAAAAAGAGCTGATTTCTTTTGAATAAGCTTGTCTAGTTCAATCCCATCTTTAAAGCACACTGTCGTTCTCATCGCAGTTGCATTGTTGTGCTGGTCTCTCCTTACTAACAGGCAACAGCTGCTAGTAACTTACTGAAAATGTGTTTCACTGGAACACAACTAACAGATTTCAGTAAAGCTTCTCCTTTCATGGCCTTCTGCACTGTGGGGCGCAAGTTATCACCACTAAAGGAGTTTCTTGACCAGTTTGATGAACTCGTTTGCCCTTGGCATGATTTTAGAGGAATGGGTTCTTCTGTTCCTGAAGATGCGCCTTTCCTACCCGAGGAAGGCAGTGGAGTTGAATATATAACAGGAGTCCTTTTAGAAGTTTTCCAAACCAGGGGGCATGTTGTACTTAAATTCTTTTGGGACAATTTCTCACCATTTCTAACTTCAGCTTCAGCAGTGCCTTCCAGAACTTCTATATTCACAGGGTGTCCTATGATCGCCTTTCCATTTAATCTGCTCATCATGCTGACGAGAGGAACATCCACTCCCTGGTGGCTTGCTTCAACTTTGATGTTCACATCAAATAGAGGAATAGCGGCATCTCCTTTGGAGTAAAAAACGCAACTTCTATCATCATCTGGACCCATATCTCCCATGCAAACCTCTTGGATATTCAGTTTTCTTTTAGGTTTGAGTTTTTCAGATCTGACAGAAGAGGCAGTCTTATCACCAACAAAAGACTCAGAGGAGTTTTTTGAGTCCTTTAAGGAGCAAGACTGAACTGATTGCTTCAAAAAACCTCCTGATTCAGAAGAAAAGTAGGCACACTTGCTTCTCTTTACCCTCTGACAAGTTTCTTGTTGCATCTCACTCCCTGTTAATCACAGGGCAAAGAAATAGATAATATTTAAAACGAACCATTAGTAACAGACATTTTCATTGTGATCACTGGTAAACATTTTTCAACTTCATAAAATCTATATCAACGTTACAAGCATGTTATAATCATGAACTTAACTATTGAACTTATGGATTTGTGAAAAAAATAGGCATGCTTGCCTGAAGTAATTGTTCATTTGGACTGAAATCTTCTCGTACGGTTTGATCTAATCTGACTAATATGAACTGATGTGGTATAGTACTAGTCTACATTTAAATTTTGTCTAGTATGGTAAGGTCAGGTTTTAGACTTGAACAAGTCCAAGTGAACAATGTCCTAAATGATACTTAGCTCCCATACAACAATTGCATCTCAAATTAAATATTGATGTAAACAATAGAAATTTTTAAAAATGTAAATAGCACTATATGTGATTCTATATCTTCAATGAATCATACATTATAGTATTATACTACCTGCCCTTTTAAGTTTCTGTTGCACCAACTGCCTTTCAAGATCAAGAGCATGAAGAATAGCATTTTTTCGTCGTGTGCACTTCAGATCTTTGGTTAAACCAAAATCTCTTGATGATTCAATCTTTCTAATACAATCGTCAAACTCTCCACAGCGGAAGGCTTTCACACGCTTAGTACTCTCCAGATTGTAGTTGTCCCTGAAACATTGCGTGTTCACAAACACATCATGGTTTCAATGAATATTACAGTACGAGGTATTATGCATTTAAGAAGATGTCAAGATGACAAAATTTTAGAAAGCATAGTTGAGGAAAACTGGACAGAGATTCTTATCAACAAACATTAGATTCCGACATATCAAAGCAACAGACCATAAAACTGTAGAACTTAACTAGAAAATCACAAAAAAAATCACAAAAAAATACAGAGATTCTTATCAATAAACATTAGATTCCGTCATATCAAAGCAACAAACCATACAGCTGTCCTTTCATAAAAAAACATACAGCTGTAGAACTTAACTAGAAAATCACAAAAAATACAGAGATTCTTATCAACAAACATTATATTCCGTCATATCCAAGCAACAAGACATACGGCTGTAGAACTTAACTAGAAAAGCACAAAAACATACAGAAATTCTTATCAAGAAACATTAGATTTCGACGTATTAAAGCAACAAAACATACAATTGTAGAACTTAACTAGAAAATCACAAAAAATACAGAGATTCTTATCAACAAACATTAGATTCCGACATATCAAAGCAACAACACAGTTACACAACCTCAAAGGCCAATCCAAGCAAAAAAGTTCAGACCAAAATTTTAAAAAAGAAAGTTGAGGAAAACTGGAATGACGGTAAAGGCAAAACATAAACCTGTAGAACATAACCAGAAAATCCCAAAAAATACAGAGATTCTTATCAACAAGTGAACAAACATTAGTTTCCAACATATCAAAGCAACAAAACAACCTCAAAGGCCAATCCAAGCAAAAAAGTTTAGAGCAAAATTTGGGGGAAATGGCTTACAGAGTGGCGCTGTTTTGGCCGAGGAGCTTGATTTGAGGTGGAACAGGGATGAAGTCGGCGGGAGCCATGACGCTTCCCGGCCACCAAATTCCGTTCCTCCGGCGCACCCACACTATGCTTCCCACTTTCACGTCTTCTTCTTCTTCAACTGCTGCACCCATTAGATTTTCTGGGTTTTTATCAGATACAGAAAACCCCCAAATATATTCATTGGGTTTCTTCAGGGAGGGTTTATTTGTAGTGTTGCGGAGACGAGTGGGGGAGGGAAATGGCGCTGCTCTGTTTCCTGTTTTTTTTTAATGTACGAAATGAACTGTTTTTTGTCTTTCATGTTTTGTCGTTATCGGTGTTTATTCTTAATTCTGGTTTTGTAACTCAATCCCGTTCGTGTTCGGAATTTCACAACGTGTCCCCCAAGTTTATTACTTATACTCCATAATTGACATTTGTTTAGCATTATTACAAGTCATGAATAACATGATACAAAGATATTTATCATAGATGGATATATTTAAAAAAGGAAAATTTTAGATACACGAGTAAAAATATTTAAAATTTTCAAAATAGTCATTATATTTTTATTATCTAAATCTAATATGTTATGATCATTCTCAAATAAGTGTCACATCTAGGAAATGAAATCATAATATTCTCGTTTTAAACGGAGAATTGAAATTGAAGGCATATATACAAATAGTTTTAGGGTTAGAAAGTTTTAAATAAATTATTTAAGTATGTCTATAAGAATTCTTTTAACACGAAATTCACAAGAATAATCTCTACTTTCATGCATTCTACATTTATAATCCTAATTGAGAGTGTCTTTACAAATAATTCGTACTAGCAATAGTGTCCATACAAATAAATTAGAATTAATTCAAAAAAAAAATGCCTATTTCATACTCTCAATCCCTACTAATTGATATTAAATGGGTTTCACTTTGAATCTGTCCCGAAAGGAAGAGTCGGGGGGGGGGGGGGGGGGGGGGGGGTAAAAGTCAGAGTAAGGATTATTTTGAAGTCACCCCAATTTATTATATAAACACCTTTGCTAGTTCGAATTATTTTTATAGACAACATGAGTAGGGATTATTATTGTAGAATCCCTATAAATAATGATTATTTTTATGAATTTCACCTTTTTTAATTGGGAAAAGTGTCAAATAGGTCCTCGATCTTTCATAAAAAAGTCAAATAAGTCCTTATATAAGAGGCTC